TGTCTACACACATTCACATTCACTTGTGTGTGTATATATATGTATGACGTTACCATCATTATAATAATTACAGCTATTCTTGACTTGACTTTTTTGCACATGAACTTTGCACATTTAAAATGCAGTGCATCTTATGGATGTCTCATCATCATGTTACCTGTTGTCAGTATTTGTTGTTTTTCATACTAATGGTGTTATTTGTGGTTGCATATACTCTTGCAGTTATGTTATTCTTTGTAATAGTGATAGTACTGTTATTATGTGAATATTATAGTCATTATATATTTATTTTATTATTTTGTTTTATGTTTATTAATCGATCATTACTACTACTACTACTACTACTACTATCATTATTATTGCTATTGTTGTTTTTATTTTTATTATTATTATTATCATTATCATTATCATTAACATTGTTATTGTCGTTGTTATTGTTATTGAAGTTGCTTTTATAATGATGATGATATTGAAATGGTTGTTTTGTTTTTTACGGATGTTGTGGTTGCAGTTTACATGATTGTCGATGCCGTCTTTTACTACTACTACTACTACTACTGCATTGCTATTATTATTGCTATTGTTATTTTTATCATTGCTGTTTTTATATATATTCTCAAAGATTCGACATACCTTCTTTTTTATTTTCTTTCAGTGTTTTAAGTTCATCAGTTGATTATTTTAATAGATATGAATATAATATAATAGGAAAACACGACGACAAATGGTAGGAATAAGGTTACTGGTAGTAATGTAAGAGATGCAAAAAAAGCTACGAATAAAAACTAATTCTTTTATTTTTCCTCCCACAGGAGTCCGTGCTGGGAGAAGGTTCAAACACAGAGAGATGCGTAACAGGAAAAAGAATAACGAAAACTTTTGAAAAAATAAAACAGAAATAAAGAAGGAAAACCGAGAAGAGGAGATCCCATCAACTAAGGAATTAAATGAAAATAGATTTGAAAGTAGAAGTGGGAAGGACTAAGGTACTATCCGTAAGCTGTTAGTACTTGGGGGAAAAGAAAATGTGATTCGCATCATCCTCAAAATAGGATTAGGATCGCAAACAGTAGAAAAAAAATCCGAATTGCTTTGTTTTATAACACTTGTTTTTTGTTGGTAGTTAACCAAGCCATCTCTCATCATGACTGACGAGAGACCGTTTGCGTGCACGTACTGCGGGAAGAGGTTCCGGTGGAAACAGAACATGAAGCAGCACCAGAGGAACCACACGGGAGACAAGCCGTTCCAGTGTTCGTACTGCAGCAAGAGGTTCGACTGGAAGCACAACTTAGCGACCCACGTGAGAGTCCACACGGGGGAAAGGCCGTTCAAGTGCACAGTCTGCGATAAAAATTTCACCCAAAAAGGTCATCTGAAAGAGCATGCCAGGATTCATAACGGCGAGAAGCCCTTCGAGTGCGCGGACTGCCAGAAAAGGTTCACTGCAAAGTCTTACTTGAAAAAACATGCATGCATACGAAAGCGTGTCAAGTGTGCTGTAGTTGTTGCACCGTGTTTGTGTTCCATCTGTGGCGCAGAATTTCAGACGAAGAGAGATCTGAAAATTCATAGGAACGCTCACAGAGCCAAGAAGATATTCAAGTGTTCACACTGCAACAAAGAAATGACTCAGAAATCACATTTAGAACAACATATGAGAATACATACTGGAGAAAGACCCTTCCAGTGTTCCTATTGTGCTAAGAGATTTGTGCAGAGCAGTGCCTTGTATCAGCATGAAAGATTTCATAGAAATGAGAGACCTTACACGTGTTCACACTGTGAGAAAAGTTTTAGTCAGAAAGGCCACCTGAGACTGCACATGAGAATTCACACAGGTGAAAGACCTTACCCGTGCATATATTGTGAAAAAAGGTTCTTTGCAAGTTCTGATCTGAAGAAGCATGTGAGACTTCACACAGGAGAAAAACTGCTTCCGTGCCCATATTGCAAGAAGAAGTTCGTATCAAAGGTCACTCTATCCAAGCATGTGGAAACCCACACAGCTGAGGAATTCGGGACTGCAGCTGTTATAAAAGACAGCACCAAAGAATCTCGAGTGAACAACTTATCAGCCCAAACAGAGGAACATCCAGAGAACACTTCCTGTGCGTCGGAAGGTGACCGGAGTGTGTACAGTCTTCGCCCTAGGTCGCAAAAGTCTTTCCACGATGTAGCCTGTGACAGAACTACCTCAGCGACCCATCGGGGGCCAGAAAAAGCATCCAGCGAAGAGGCTTTCATATTCATCAAGTCGGAGTATAAACCCATCTTTGTAAAGTCGGAAGAACCAACTAATGACATCAAAACGTATGACATGTATAGGACGTGTGTAATAGAAGAAAAAATTAAAGTAGAGGACAATATAACTGTAAAAGAAGAAATTGTGTCAGACTGAATGGTGATGAACACTTTTTATATGTGATTATTATTTATATGAAATTGTTGAATAGGGTGCTACGCGGAGAAAGAGTTGACATGGGTTAATTGTAATTCGCTAGAAAATGCCATGTGAACATATAATAACAAACTATAGTCAGAACTATTTTTTCTCTATTAATGCAATATGAATTGTCTACTTTTTAAAGTATGCAAACTAGTATGGTTAGTGTAAAAGAGAAAAGAATTCCTTTGTGTACACTTTCTTTGGTTGTTATCGATGTTAAAGTATATTTCTTGGCTCCATAATGGTTGAAAAGTTGTAGCGCTTGTAAGCATAATACCGATATTCATACTATTTATACAGTTTGTCTAGAAATAGTTAAATGGATCACGCTGGACTGTGACCATAGAATGCTTGGCCATGTCCATGTGCTGAGGAGGAGAGGGCCAGGGGGGACTAAGAGTAGTTTACCAGTTGGCTTAGGCTAGTGATTCCCAAACTTTTTCCTTCTGGCACCCCCTTGGCTTTCGTCTGGATTCCCTTCTTATAGACATGCGAACACACTTTATTTTTATTTTGGTATGCTTCAGATCGATAGTAGAAAGATGTACCCTCATGTTTCTGACATTTTGTCATTCAGATTTTATAAAAGAAGACTACACCACCCCAAGTAGATCCAGTGCCCATTTTAGAACCAAAGGCTTAGGTTCTGTTGAATCACTAAATCACTCTACCATCTCTACCCTCACCCTGCCCTTCACTTACTGAGCTGTTAGGATGCTGGATCTATTCTTCGTGCAACTGCTAAAAAGCAGCAGATCGATGTCTGTGAAGTGGCTTAGCACTTTTTTTGTATAGTAATTGTAAGCCATGCTGCGTAATAGAAAGGGTCAGAGAATGAAGGTCAAATTGCTGGTATTGAGAATAGAATGGATTTGGCGAGGTGGCGCATTTGACCCTTTTAGAACGCAGCCTCAAAGTCTTGCTCAAAGTGCCCTTCTGAGTCTGTGTCCTTTGTAAATTATGTGTCATGTAATGCATGCTCTCTTTTAGTAAAATAAACTGTTGATCAATTTTATTGTCTATCCTTAGTATCTAATTTTCCCAATATGCTGTGTTTACAATTGTTTAAAGATAAATAGATGGATAGATATACATAGGTACACACACACAGACATATATTTTATCTCATTGCTGTGCATGCTCCCACCAATGTTTGCAAACTCGATGAGAAAGATACTTTCTACGCCAAGCTCATCCGTGACAGACAAACAAATGACCCTGACAAGACATTCGCATTGTACTGGGTGACTTCATTGCGGTCTCCTGTTGTGGTCGAGCTGGCTGCGAGATGTCTGTCGGTCCCCATGGCTCTCAGTAGCGAGAACAGCCTCATTGTCTGGGAAGTTGCTACGCCCCAGTAATTGAGTATTTCTCGCTCCTGGTATCAGAACTCTAACCCACATTTCTGGAGCGATTGGTACTGTGGCTAAGGCAACCGACCTCATTCTTGTTAGCACTCGCTGGAGGATTTTCATGAACAGCAGGGTTTACTGCAGACTATAAGAAAGATAGGAAAGCATGTATCACACCGATTAAGAAAAATGTGAGGTCCAAATCTTCATATAGCACCAACTATTATTCAGATATGTAACAGAAAAGAGAACGTTTATAGGGGCTATAAATTTATATAGATTTTTTAAAAATCGTTTTACTTCCAAAGGTTTAGTTTCGGTTGATGTCTTGTTTTTCAATAAGAGATTTGAAATGTATCTATCAAAGAATTATTTGATATATATGTATATATATATATATGTATAAATTTACATAGCATTATATAATTATTCTGTTCTTTAATAACTTTTTTTAGTTATTAGAGATTTTACATGCATTAAAATAAGATTTTAGTTTTTTTTCTTCAGAAAATGACAATAAAACATTTAATAATTATCTCATGTGTATGTATATTTACATGACATCAAGCATTGCCATCCATTATATGAGGGAAAAATGTGACTTTAAGTACCAGCACTCAGCTTACCTGTTATGTAGAGGAAAGCCTGGACTCGTCTGACGGAAAATCGTTAAAATAACGAACTTATTGGTTTCCCTCAAATAAATTCTTAACATCTAAACAAACAAACCACCTACAAATGATTTTCATAATTCACTCTATCTGTTACAACAATAAATTTTGATGTACTGATATGCCTTTAGATGGACTAAAATATATAAACAAATGTTTTAATGACGAATATACATCTTTCAAATCAGAAACAGCGCCTTTTAAATGTCAAACAAATAATGATCTCGACATATATATATATATATATATATATATATATATATATATATATATATATATATATATATATATGTATATATAAAGGATTAAACGAATAAATATACTTTCTGCATACATAGACATGAATATATAGATTGATATACAGCTATGTGCGCGCGCGCACATACACACGAGCATGTGTATGTGTGTGTGAGTGCGTGTGTGTGTTTACAAAATCCTAGTTACCAAACTTGGGTACGAACAAAATATATACCATATTTTGCCAAGTAATGATTAGGAAATCTACACAATGTTTGCATATATATATAAATAATATAATATATATATATATATATATATATATATATATATATATATATATACTGCACAGTAATCCTGCAATTAGTTAGTAGCAGATAGGCTTGCATTGCAAAAATCGTTCCAAAGCATAAAAATATACTTGTCATGATTTAACTTCAGTCAACAAAGAAAAGAATTTGTTTTCGATGCTATCATTATCAAGCGAACAATCTATGCAAACATTCGTATATATTCCAATATACAATCATTTCGCAAAGAGCTAATTTAGTCGCCTTCCAGTAAAAAAGCAACGCATGTTTCAATCTTTTAGATGAAAAAAATCACATTTGAAGCTCCAAAGAATAAAGGATAAGATACAAATAAGATGAGAAATAAAGAGGAAACGGGTTATTTTGCAATTCAATCTGCAATCTCCCAAGGTCATGTAATGTGTTGATGTATCGATATATTTTATGAAAAAACACCCTCGTGATACTAATGAAAAAACACATTAATATCGATCGGTATGTAACGCGATGCTGCCCGTCTCTGTATATGTGTATAGAGAGAAAGAAACCACAACTCACTCAGAAATATCGAAGACGAAAAAAGATTGAAGCTGAAAAAAAAAAAAAAAAAAAAAAAAAAAAAAAAAAAAAAAAATATATATATTATATATATATATATATATATATATATATATATATATATATATATATATATATATATATATGCCTAGCCGCAAAAAGAATTCCTTTCAAAGTAGATTTTGCCCTCCGCGCTGGAACACGCCCCAGGTCATTCGTCATTCTCAATTCGCACATCACACTCCTCATGGCCCATGCATCGTGACACTAGGGGGAAGAAGCGCTGAAACGACAGAGACAATAGCGATAAGAACAATACTTCTTGTAGCTACTTCAGTATGATTTTTTATGGAGGTGATCAATCGTTTAACATTGGCATACAATTGCACATCACTCGTCTTGTTTTA